ATATTATTTTATTATAAATCACTGTCCCTTTCTCTTTTATATTACACTTAGGGCATCATGTTATTTTCTAAATTTATGTATATGAGAGTTATATTATCTATGAATTTTATTTTATTAAAGTGAACATTGAAAATAATTATTACAATAAAGGGAATGTTGAGTCTGATGGGTTGGAAATCTCTTTCCTAGACAAAATTATTAATTCAGGAAAATTGGTTTTCAGTTAATGCTTCCTCATTTGATCTTATCTTCTACTTGGCTCTTATTAACCCTTATGGATGTGGTCACTTCTGGATTGGTATTATATTTTCCAAATTTTCTACATGAACAAAAATTACTTTTATAGTCATGAACTAAAAAAAAAGAAGAAAGACTTCAAATAAGAAGAAAAACAAATAATTTCTTCAAGTGTTATTAGTAAAGCTTTGTAAGTGTGACAAATATTTTGGATGCTTTATTTTATATGAAGTATTAAAGGCCAATAATGATGTCATGCACCACAGCCAACCCGTCTATCGAAATAAACAAGCATTCTAAAACATTTGTGAGTTGACAATTTCTTCGAGATTTAAATACCTACTTTGAGACTTTGAGACAATGTAGGAAGATATTCTAAGGTAGGTGATATTTTGGAAGCTGTATTAATTATCTACTTCTGAACAACAAACTTTCCCCAAATGTAGCTCCTTCATACAATAAATATTCATTATCTCACAATATCTGAGGGTCAGGAATTTGAGAGTAGTTTAGTTGAGTTGTTCTGACTCTGGATCCTTCATGAGATTTTAGTCAAGCTGTCATCAATGGCTGCAGTTATCTGAAAGCATGACTGCCACTAAAGGATATGCTTCCAAGCTCACTCATGTGACTGTTAGCAGTAGCCTTCAGTTCCTCATTATATGGGTCTATTCATAGTGCTGCTCAAACATGACAGCTAGTGAGAGGGGGATAGTGTCAGCTTAGCTTAAATAGGAAACAGGGTTATGATAAAGTATATTAGAGGATGAATAACATTGGATGTGTTTTGTGAGGGAGGGTACAGTTCAGTACCTGGAGTATTTCCTAGAGAAGTCTCACGTCAGGAGGCAGCATGAGAGAAATGAGAGAGGCAACCAGCAGGTGGGGGAGGGTGCCAAATGGGAAGAGAGTTATGAGTATAGAGAGATTAAATGGGAGCCAAAAAAAACCTAATCCATTTTACAATTGTGTTGAGGATCTGGTAAACGTGTGTGTGTGCGCGCGTGTGTGTGTGTCTGTGAGTGTGCATGTGTGGTCATTGAAAAAGAGAGCCCTTTACCTTGCTGCAGAATGCCTTACAAAAATGCCTCATTTAGAAAATAATATTGGAAAAGATTTTCACTTCAACCTCAAAACATGGACATTTCACACAGCTAAATGCTGGGCATTTCCTTCCTACACTTTCCAAAGCTATTTCTCTCTTTACTTGGTGGTGAGCAACAAGTGGACATTTCTCAAAATACCCGCCTTCTTACCTTCAATAAGAGCAATTACATGTACCCCGATAAAGCATTTTCATTAGAAACAAAGAGTGCGGTGGGATGTAATTATTCCATTTCTTAATAAGAAGGAGGGTTTTTAATATTATTTTTGCACATTTACACAGCGTTTTTAAGAATTTGTTTAGTGCAACCTTGGATTTCAGGATCAGATGCAGTAGGTGCTGAGGAAACCCCTATCTCCATCCCAATACAGCAAAGCAGCCCATATCAGCTATGAACACAAATCTTATGGACACTTAGGCTCCAGGGTCACATGCTAAATGTGATGTGAAAAAAAAAAATTATGCTAAATGTAGAATTTTTACATAGATCTGAACTTGACTTTCTAATGTACTCTGTACTACTGTTATAAAGAAATTTCTGACAGGGGGCCAGTCTAAGAAAAACAATACCAAGTACAGAAAACTATCCCAAATAAGAACTAAGGAAATTGAAGCTATAATCAATAAAGTTCCAGGAAATAAAAGTTCAGGTCCAGATGGCTTCACAGGGGAGTTTTACCGAACATTCAGAGAAGAACTAACACCCTTTCTCCTCAAACTATTTCAAAAATTTCAAAAAGAAAGAAGACTTCCAAGCTCTTTTCATGAGGCCAGCATAATCCTAGTTCTAAAACCAGATAAAGACACTACACAGACAGAAAACTATAGGCCAACATCCCTGATGATCATAGATGTCAAAAACCTCAACAAATATTAGCAAATCAGGTCCAGCAATATATTAAAAAAATATTCATCATGACCAAGTGGGATTCATGCCAGGGGTACAAGGCTGATACAATATTCACAAATCAATAAATATGATACATCACAGAAACAAAATGAAAGATAAAAACCACATGATCATATCAATAGATGCTGAAAAAGCATTTGAAGAAAGCCAGCAACAGTTTTTGATAAAAATGCTCAGCAAAGTGGGAATAGAGAGATCATATATCAACACAATAGAGGCCATATATGAAAAACCTACAGCCAACATCATACTCAATGAACAAAAACTAAAAACATTTTCCTTAAGAACAGGAACAAGACAGGGATGCCTACTTTAGTCACTCTTATTTAACATAGTACTGGAAATCTTAGCCACAACAATTAGACAAGAAGAAAAAAAATAAAAGGGATCCACATCGGAAAGGTGGAAGTGAAGCTGTCATTATTAGCAGATGACATGATATTGTACATAGAAAACCCTAAAGACTCCATCAAAAATCTACTATATTTAATAAGTAAATTTGGCAAAGTGGCAGGATACAAAATTAACATCCAGAAATCGATGGCATTCTTATACACAAATAATGAACATTCAGAAAGGGAAGCTAAAAAAAATTCTACTTACTATTACAACAACAAAAATAAGATACATAGGAATAAACTTAACCAAGGAGGTAAAAGACCTATTCTCAGAAAACCACAGGACATTGAAAAAAGGAACAGAGGAACACATAAAAAAGTGGAAACATATACCGTGTTCATGGGTTGGAAAAAACATCATTTAAATGACTATACTACTCAAAGCAATCTACATATTCAATGCAATCCCTATTAAAGTACCAATGGCATATTTCACATATCTAGAAAAAATACTCCAAAAGTTTATATGGAACCATAAATGATCCCAAATAGTCACAGCAATCTTGTAAAAGAAGAACAAAGTGGAAGGGATAAAAATACTGGATATCAAGTTGTACTACAAAGCCATCATAATCAAAACAGCCTTTTACTGGCAGAAGAACAGTCATCTAGATCAGTGAAACAGAACAGAGAACTCAGATATTGACCCAAGACCATATGCATAATTAATATTTGACAAAGAAGGAAAAAGCATACAATGAAGAAAATGCATTCTCTTCAATAAATGGTGTTGGGAAAATTGGACAGCTACAAACAAACAAACAAAAAATGAAACTAGACCACCAACTTACACCATACACAAGAATAATCTCAAAATTGATAAAAGACTTAAGTGTAACCTGTGAATCCATAAAAATTCTAGAAGAAAATATAAGCAGAAAAATCTCAGACATCACACATAGCAGAATTTTCACTGATACATCTCCTAGGGCAAGAGAAACAAAATGAAAATAATCAATAAATGGTACTACATCAAACTGAAAAGCTTCTGCACAGGACAAGAAATCAGCATCAAAATGAAATGGGAACCCACACTCTGAGAGAACATATTTGCCAACGATACATTGAATAAGGGGTTACTATCCAAAATATATGGAGTACTCATACAACTCAACAAAATAAAGACAAACATTCCAGTTAAAAAATGGGCAGAGGACCTGAATAGACACTTCTCCAAACAGGACATACAAAAGGCCAGGAGACATATGAAAAAATGCTCAACATCAATAATCAGAGAGATGCAAATTAAAACAACTAGGGGATATCACCTCACACAGGCCAGAATGGAAGCCATCAACAAATTCTCAAACAACAAGAGCTGGAGAGGATGTGGAAAAAGGGGACTCTAGTCCATGCTGGTGAGAATGCAGACTGATACAGCCATTATGGAAAACAATATAGTATGTCCACAAAAAAAATGGAACTACCATTTGACCCAGTGATCTCACTTCTTGGAATATCCTAAGAAGCCAGAAACACCAATCAGGAAGAATGTATGTACCCCTATGTTCATGGCAACACTATATACAATAGCTAAGATCTGGAAACAGCCCAAGTGCCCATCAGTAGATGAGTGGATAAAAAAAAATACAAAACAAACAAACAAACAAAAAACTGTGGTACACTTACACGATGAAATACCATGCAGTTCTAAGAAAGACACATGGAGGGACCTGAAGAGTATTATGCTACATGAAATGAGTCAGTCAGAGAAAGGCAAGTACCACATGATCTCACTTATTTGTGGAATATAATGAAAAAAAGAAGCTGTTGACCAAAAGAGATCCAAAGTCATGGAAGTAAGGAACAGACAAACAAACCTCAGAGGGATGTGGGTAGTATGGGTGGATAGAGATAAACCAAATAAATTATATGAATATATGCACAACCAATGGACACTGACACTAGATTGGAGAAAACAGGAGGGGGGTTGGAGTGGGAAGGAGGGGGATAATGAGGACAGAAGCATCTGTAATACTTTTAACAATGTTAAGTAATTAATTAACTAATTATTTAATTGAAAAAAGAAAAATATCCCAAATCTCTTATTAAGCTATTAGCACTGTAATATAGCTCATTAGTTTTCACCTTCCAATTATTGAGTTTTTCAATTAGAGGACATACTCAGAGTTGAACTGCACCCAGTACTTTCTGCAGAACTTCATGCCAATTTTGCTATATAAAAATTTTACCTTGTGCCAGGAAGCTTGGAAAATCCAATGTGGCTTTGAAAAAATTGTCCACTCCTCCTATTGTGTGTTCTTTGCTGGTTCACAAAAGAAACATCCACATCTTATATAATAAGATTTGCTTGCTATATTGATGGCTGACAAGTTATCAGAACTCACACTTACTTCAGCAGCACATATACTAAAATTGGAACGATACAGAGGAAATTAGCATGACCCTGTGCAAGGATGACACACAAATTCATGAAGCATCTCATGTTTTTTTTTTTAAAGTTACCAGAGGTCAAAACTACCTCTACTTAATCTTGGGATCTCAGATTACTTTTTACTCATTTGCCACTCTAAAATTGGATAGCAATGGGCAGTGTAAGATGTTCAAAGAATAGTGACTAATTAGTGTAATCTATTTTTTATCAGTAAATCAGGTGATTATGACACACTTTAAGCTTGAAAACCCCTAATTATGGCTAATACATTAAAAATTTAGAAAAAGTCACTTTGGTGAATTTATTTTGTAGAATGATGAAAATAGTAAACATAGATGGGAATGAATGCAATTTACAACTTGGAATTGAATGATTTTGCAATTAGAATGGTAACTATGTACTTTTTACTACATAAAACTATATAGCAAAATAGAGACAAATGATGAAATTTTAAACCAGCAGTTAGAACAGTATTTTCATGACAGTAGTGGAATACGTAAATTATCCCTTGTTTATAAGGTTTACATTAAGCATGGCCCTTCATTAATGATACTTGTGAATTCTCATTCTTATTTTTTCTTTAAGCTATTATCCTTGGTCTAAGACTTGGACTCTAAGTCCATTCTCCTTGTCTCATTAGGGGGAGTACCAAGTATCACAATATAAAACTTCTTCAATACATCCAGTGACATTTCTCCTACTATTTCCCATATTTTTTCAATGGTAAATTCATAGGGGGAGTCCTATAATTTCTTATAAGTTTTTCTGTGCAGAGGCATGTTGGTTGCTACATAGTACATGAAGTTCTTCTAAGTAATGACATCAGCAAGTATTTACTAAGCATCTACAATGTGCTCGCTTTGTTCCAGGTGCTAGGGGAAGAACATGAAAAAACATGAAAGAAAGAGTTCACCTTTCAAATTGCAATGTGGGCCACAAGTAAAGTAAACTAATGTTTTGTAAACTAGGCTTCTGCACTTCTAAATGTTTTTTTTTATTTTTATTTATTTATATTTATTTATTTATTTTTTTATCCTCACCCGAGGACATTTTTCCACTTTTTGTTCAGGTAGAGTGGGAGGGAGAGAGAGGAACAGAGAGAGAGAGAGAAACATGGATGTGAAAGGAACACATTGAGTGGCTGCCACCCGCACGACCAACCAGGGCCGGGGACAAACTGCAACCGAGGTACGCGCCCTTAGCGGGAACCGAACCCGGGTCTCTCAGGACTGCAGGCCAATGCTGTAACCGCTGAGCCAAACCAGCCAGGGCGGCTTCTGCACTTCTAAAGTAAATCTCTAAGGCTTCATGTGTGCCAGTTTTCTGAAAAGGCCTATTCAGCATTTTTTAAAATAATTTTTTTATTAATTTACTTTTGTTACAAATGTTTCTCCTTTTTTTCCCCATTGACACCCTCCTCCCCATCCTCCCACCTCATGCCCGGCTTTGTTGTCTGTGTCCATATGTTATGAGTACATGCATATAAGTTCTGTGGTTTATCTCTTCCTTCCCCCCACCAACCCCTCTTCTGAGGGTTGTCAGTCTGTACCCTACTTCCATGTCTCTAGGTCTACACAATTCCTCAGACTGTTATGTTTTTTATATTCCAAAAATAAGTAGATCATGTGAAATCTATCTTTTTCTGTTTGGCTTGTTTCGCTTAGGATACTTTCCAGGTCCCTCCACGTCATCTCAAAGGATAAGAGATCTTCCTTTCTTACAGCTACATAGTACTCCATTGTGTACATGTACCACAGCTATTTTTATCCATTTATCTACTGATGGACATTTGGGCTGTTTCCAGATCTTAGCTATTGTAAATAGTGCTGCTACGAACATGGGGGTACATATATTCTTTCCGATTGATGTTTCAGGTTTCTTAGGGTATATTCCTAGAAGTGGGATCACTGGGTCAAATGGAAGTTCAATTTTCAGTTTTTTGAGTTAACACGATACTGTTTTCCATAGTGGCTTCACCAGTCTGCATTCCCACCAGCAGTGCTCTAGAGTCCCCTTTTCTCCACACCCTGGCCAGCACTTCTTGTTTGATGATTTGTTGATGGTGGCCATTCTGATAGGTGTGAGGTGATACCTCATAGTTGTTTTAATTTGCATCTCTCTGATGATTAGTGATGTTGACCATTTCTTCATATGTCTTTTAGCCATTGGTATGTCCTGTTTGGAGAGGTGTCTATTTAGTTCTTCTGCCCATTTTTTAATTGGGTTCTTTGTCTTCCTTTTGTTGAGCTGTATGAGCACACTATATATTTTGGAAATTAACCCCTTATTTGATGTACCATTGGCAATTATGCTCTCCCATAGAGTGGGTTGCCTTTCTATTTTGGTGGTTGTTTCTTTTGTTGTACAGAAGCTTTTGAGTTTGATGTAGTCCCATGTGTTTATTTTCTCCTTTGTTTCTGTTGCCTTAGGTGATGTATCAGTGAAAATTCTGCTGCGTATGATGTCTGAAATTTTGTTGCCTACAGTTTCTTCTGGGGTTTATATGGATTCATGATTCACATTTAAGTCTTTTATCCATTTTGAGTTTATTCTTGTGTATGGTGTAAGTTGATAGTCTATTTTTATTTTTATTTTTATTTTTTGCATGTAGCTGTCCAATTTTCTCAGCACCATATATTAAAGAGGTTGCCTCTACTCCACTGTATTCTCTTGCCTCCTTTGTCAAATATTAATTGAGCATATTTTCTTGGGTCCATTTCTGGGTTCTCTATTCTGTTCCATTGATTTATCTTCCTGTTCTTCTCTGGTACCTTCATTTTAGAATTCTAGCCTCCAGAATTGTGAGTAATAAATGTCTGTTGTGTATAAGCCACCAAGTCTGTGGTAGTTTTTATAGTAGCCTAAACAGACTAAGATTCCAAGAGTGGTCAGAAGTAGAAATAGACAGAGATGTACATCTTAAGTAAAAGCTTAGGAAGCACAATTCTACTCATAGATTTAAAAACAACAACAACAACAACAAAGAATGGATTAGATAGCAGCTAAGAGCTATAGCCCAAGTTAGGACCCAAAGTAAGAGGGGGTTCCAGAATCATTTCTGGAGGCTAAATAATCTTAAAGCTAGTTTATATTTATACTGGCTTCCTGAGTGAGCTGGTCCGGTTCAAAGGCACTGGATCAAGGTGAACAGAAGTGGATGTTGAGTTCCTTTAAGGATGGGGACAGTTGCATCACTGGCCATCTTCACTTCTATTTTGGCACTACTTATTGTCTGTCAGGCATTAAAGGCATTAAATCCATACCTAAGTTTCCTTCAATTAGCAGGCATTGATTATTTGAAGATAGCCTTTTCTATTAAAGTTAGAATTATACATTTCTTGAGATCAAAATATATGTGGTTTGAAACCATTATTTTGCAGGGAAACATATCTATGTCACCATTTTGCAATTAATGTCCCATTCAGCTTGTTGGAAGGTAATGTTTTATTTTAATTATTTAAAAATCAAAACATGGAGGCCCCATTTCCCCTATTCAATTAGCAAAAAAAAGTAATAAATCTTGCATTAAAACCTATCTCTTGACAAAAGTACAGGCTTACCTCTGTTTAAGGAAATTTGACATACAAATAGTACTTTATGAAATAAAGCAATTAAGGGGAGAGGAAGATTACAAACCAAACAGAAGATAACTGTGAAAATAAATTTAACATACTGATGACACTAATAAACAGTTTCTACCTAGAGGAGAACTAAGGGAAGAGAGAGAATTTCCAAAGAAGATGTTCTTCAAGTTTTCAACTTTTCCTGTTACTTTTCCCAGGAACCCATCTCTTTCAACAGTGCTCCTCAGCAAGGTTCATGATCAGTAAGCTAGTTAAAGCATGCTGTTTCTTTACTGAAGCTTATAGTGGTTTCAAAATACTTCTAAGTACATGTTGGTCAGTTACAGGGCATTGAGATCATTACTTAAACAATTCTGATATAACTCTAGCTTACTAGTGAGCATAGTTAAGTTGGCTGATGCACTCTTACAGCTTTTCCTGTCCTCTCTTGGTAATCTCTTCCTTACTTTGATTTCAGGCCAACCTTACAGCTGATTTCCTTTCAGTTGCCATTGACTGATAAAGCAAGTTCCATGTTTGCTCCAACCCTTAATGCAAGACCAAACCTATTCTCTGTACAGCCATCTAAACCCTATCTGAGTAAAGCTTCCTTAGTGCCTTACTCCCAGGGCACTTCCTTAATAATGCACCTTGTTCCTGTGCAAATGTTGCCCAGTTAGCTGTCCTTCTTCTGTTCCTGCCCTCAGATTTTCACACCAATCCCAAAGGTAGTTACCTACAATCATTTATAATATCTGTCCACTCATTTTCTTATCCTTTTTCTCCTTGACAATCTTATAGTTTTCATATGGCTTTCTGGCATCAACATCGTCATCAGTGATACATGTACTGGCAGAGCATCACATCTGGGTAAATAATATAGTTAGTGGTTATGCAATCAAGCTGTAAAGTTAAACCATTCATTCATTCAACATATACCTTTTTATAGACAACAATAATTCTTATATATATTTTATGAAAATCTGTTTAACAATTAATTAGAAGGAAGATGGTGGTGGGCAGGACCAGAGGGAGGGTGAGTGTGTGAGAGTGAGCTAGTGTGTGAGAGAGTGTGAGCAGATGTGAAGGTGAATGACCAAACTCGTGCAGTGCAGAGGTGTGGAGCAGAAGTTTCCTGTGCTGTGGACGGAAGCAACCAGCTATCATGGTAAGCCTCTATTCAGGGAGCTTCTCCCTGCACCTCAGGGAGGTCGCACCATTTTGGAAGATACTGGGTCTTCCCTGGGAGGAGGCAGTGGGAGCGGCTAGGGCCCAGCAAACTGAGCCCAACAGTTCACCTGGCACATCAGACCAGTGGACACTCTGTGTCAACACAGATCAGTGCACAGCAGTGGAGCCCCCAAGGTGCCAGTCACGGAAGCCTCAGACAGCCCGGAGCCCAGCACCACCCCCCATATTAGCAGCCCAATCAGAGTCGAGGTATGTCCCCAGGAAAAGAGGCTGGGGAGCAGACATTCATCCCCAGGCAACAGA